CTCTCCTCACCTAATCCCTTCAGCTGACTGCTCTTCTCTCTGGCTTCCTGGCTTTTAATCCCCTTTCTCCTGCTCTTCCCACTTGCTACTTTGGGCGTCCCTGAGTTGTCTCTCCTCACCTGTAACCCTGGGGCTGCAGGGTTTAGGTACTTTTAATAACTGAGCTTGGACTACCCACTACTGTGGACTAAATTAATCCACAACTTTATAAATTGTTGTGTCCCTTTAGAGAAGGGGATGTGGGAATGGATCACCATGAAATGTTATAATAAGTATATTTGGATTATTGGCCCTTTCATTTTGTTTCTAGGTTTACAGCATTCTTCGTCACGTGGCTGAGGTGTTAGAATACACCAAAGATGAGCAGCTGGAGAGCCTGTTCCAGAGGACTGCCTGGGTGTTTGATGACAAGTACAGGAGACCTGGATATGGTGCCTATGATGCATTCAAGCACGCAGTCTCGTAAGAACGCCTTTTGGTTCTGCCTCTACCTTGATCTCCTGGCTGCTGGGTCTAACACACAAGTTGATAGCCTGGCATTTAATAGCACACCATCCATGTATTAAACTCTTGCCAAATTTAGATGAGAATATTTCAGTATAAAAGACCCATGATCTGGATGAGTCCCATGCAGCCAAATCTGTATGGTTTCATCTCACCTTGCTCTCTTTTACATCTTCATTTCTTCCCTAGTTTTGTTATTGTCCTGGTAACTTCAGGACCAATATAAATGTCTCATCCAAAACTGTAGCCTCTTATTTTTACTGTGATTCATTTGACCTTCGGCCTACATCATTTCAGCCAGTGTTTTTCATACCCTCACCCTGGGCCTTAACCATCACATTAGACAGGATTTGGTGTCTAAAACCTTTAATTCACATATTTCATTCTTTTACCACAGCTTTCTATTCTTCTAGTTCTCATCCATATAGTTAGTCCTATTCTCTTACCTCAGGCTGTAATTCCAAACTTTTTTTTCCCTCCCTATCTTTTTACCTTGTGCTGTCTTTTCTTTCTTACCCAGCATAGACACACCAGGGTCCAGTTCAACAACTTTCTTGTCAATATCTTGAACTTTTTACCCTGTTTGTCACTCTGTTACATCCAGCCCTGGAGCAATGTTCCTGCCTTCACTACACTTGTAGAGTGCTGAATGCCGCTAGAGAAAAATTACAGTTTTGCAGGTTGGTTCCACCTCATATTCATGGTCTCCAGCCTCAGCAAGGCCTCCCTACATCCCCACATTCTCTCTGCTCTTAGTCGGCTCTTCCTCCCATACTCGTATTTCAGAGCTTCTCCACACCATTTTTGCAAATAGCCACTCCACTGCTCTTTCCTCACTCTGAGCTCATGAACTCACCACCTGTTTTATAGAGAAATAGGAGCCATTGTGCAAGAACTCCTCTACCTCTTTTCATTATTTCTGCAAACTTACCTCCATTCCACCTGCCGTTTCCTCCTGCACTCCTGACACACTATAATCCTTATCCTTCCTGCTGCCCTCAAGTTATTCTTAGGACCGGTGCCCAACTACTCCTTAAGGATCTCTTTCCAACCATTATTCCCTCTGAGTCTTCAGTCTTTCCCTTTAATGGCTTTGTTCCATCCACATAAATATATGCTCTGGTTTGTCCCATTTATGCTAAGAACCAGACTTCTCAACCTTCCCTCTACTTTCTTCTATAGCATGCACCATGTCCTAGCCTTTGAACAGCCACGCTCCTTCAGTTCTCTGACCTCACTGTGTCTGCTTCTTCACCTCCCACTCTTCCCTCAATGGTAATGCTCCACAGGCAGCCTCACTGCTGCATTAAGGTTAGCTCCCAACTGGTGGGCTGCCACAGATATTAGTCCCTTCAGCCCTCAAATGAGACAATCAGTGTCCAGCAGGCAATTTCATCTGAGGCTTCAAATCCCGTCTGGAAGACCCTGACATGTCTTAAAAGTACTCCTCTCTCCGTATCATTGTACAAAGGGTGAAAAATAAGAATAACTAACCATTATGTAATTCTCATAACAACCCTGTGGTGTAAGTTATTATCCCTATATTATAGATGCAGAAATGGAGGCAGAGATAAAAGTAATTTGTCCAAGGTCACAGTTAGCAAATGATAGAGCCAGGATCCAGAGTTTGTGCTGTTAACCATCCAAGCACTGCTTTATATTTCTGTGTCCACAGTAAGTGTATTTGTTAACTTGTTTACAGTCATCAGCTGGTCCCAGCTTACTTCTCTAGCTTCTGTCTTTGTCTGGTCTCATCACTCATGTAGCCACTATCCAGATTACTTAATAATGTTAGTTCTTTGCCAAGTGTACTTCATATATTTTTTCTTTGAGAGAAATTACTAAGATAGTTGGAAACAGTGTTTTACCCCTCCCATCTGTTCCCCTCATTCATCGGTAATAATCACTATTCTGAAATTAGTGTCGTTACAATTTGTTTTTAATCCTTACTAAGTATATGTCTCCATAAAGTATCTGTAGAACCCTTTTTTTATTATTTATTGTATCACTGTGTCTGTCTATAGCTTGTATTTGTTGTTGATCAGGATTTCTCCAAATCTGTAGGTGTGTAAGGAGCTCTGGTAGCGTAGTGGCTAAGGCACTTGACTGCTAACCAGAAGGCTGGCGGTTCAAACCCATCAGCCACTCCTCAGAAGGAAGGTTGAGCAATGTACTTCCATAGTGATACCACTTTGGAAACCCAAGGAGGGGTCTCTGAGTCGGATCCGACTCAACGGCAGTGAGTTTTTGGTTTCTAGCAATTGTATGAGTGTTCTTACATCCTTACATCCTCATCAACATTTGTATGTATCTCGCATTTTTTTCCTTTTGCCAATTGCATCTTGTTTTGATTTGCAATTTCTTCACTATGGATAAGGTAAGGTATACGTATTTCCATATATTTATTGACCATATGTATTTTTTCTACAAAACATTTGTTCATCTCATTTGCCCATTTTCTGTTGGTTTATCTTCTTGTTGGTTGGTACATAGTTACTTGCAAAATGAATGCTCCCTCCACCCAAATCCTTCTGCCTTTTATTCTTTAACTAGACCCCTGCTTTTTAAAACTGGTGCTTGTCATACTGTTCTTTTTTTTCTGTGTTGTAACTCTCTTGCAATTGTTTGTAAGAAAGTAAAATTCTTAGCCATTGTTTCAGTCATTAATTCACCAGGCTGCTAGGAGTTGTGCTGATAATATAGTAGTTAACAAAACCCTGGTCCCTGTCTCATGGTGCTTTGGCAGGTCTGAGGGTCACATCAGAACCATTTCTCCATGAAACCCTTTGTGACTCCACCAGCTGAAAACGATCCCTTCCTCTCCTGGCTTCCATGAATGCACTTTCATTTTTATAAATTTTTCAATACTTTTGTTCTTTTCAAACTAGATTATAAGCTCCTTGAAGCAGTGATTGCTAGTTACATGGAAATGCTTCATTGTAGTGGAATGTCATAAATATTTAGAGACATTTTTAATTGTTCATTTTAGCCAGAGCTCTAAAAAACACTTAACTTAATAATGACCAAGATGAACTGATTTGTATTTGTCATATGCTGCTATCACCACAATCCTGTGAGTTTTGCTGTTTTCTTCCCATTTTACATTTGGAAGCCAAGGTTTAGAAAGGCCCAGAGATACATAGTTACTAAAGTGAAAAACTAAGATTTGAACTTGAATTCTGACATCAAAGCCTATACTCTTAACCATTATTCTCTGGTAATGTGTTTGATTTCACAGTTATCTGTCATTTAACCCTGATTTTTTGTGTTTTCTTTGTCTTTTTAATCAGAGACCCAGCTATTTTGGATAGTTTAGATTTGAATGAAAATGAGCGGCGAGTACTCATTGACAATATTAATAGGCGTTTGACTCCACAGGCTGTTAAAATTCGAGCAGGTAAACATTAATGATTTGTAAAATTTTTTATATGTACAAAGAACTCTTAAAATAACGAGCCTTAACAGAGAATATATTGCTGCATCAACATCTCTAAACTTCTCCAAATGTTTAGCTTTTTTCATAACAAGAGGAGTTAAAGAAATTAAATTATTTTGCTTCTACTGAATCATCTTAAATTGTATGTGTTAGCACAAGTTAGTAACGATCATATAAGTTAAACTAACCTTAAGTAAGCCCTTTTTTAAAGGGACATTTGTTTTAGCGCATACCGTAAAACATTGTCACAGTGTAGCAATATTCTCCCATCTCTCTGGAAATAACGACTATTAATAGTTCGGAATATATTCTTTTGAACATTTTTTTTATACGTATTCTGTACATTCACATTTAAATTTCTTTTTTAAAAAGATGGGATTGTACTATGTGAATTGTCTCCAATTAGCTTTTTCCACTCAGTTCCTACCACTAGGTATCCTCCCATGCAGAATATAGGAATCTTTCATGTGTTTTAATAGCTGGGTGGTATTACATGAAACACTTAAACCCTACTATAAACTAGTTCCCTCTTGATAAACACTTAGGTTGTGCTATTTTTTTTTCCCCACTATTACTAATACACTGCAAATTAATAGCCTTGTTGATACATACCTACCATTACAGTGTTCTCTGAAATATTCCTAGCAGGAGAAATGCCGAGTTAAGAGTATGCGTATTTGTGAATGGAATAGATAGTTGGTGACTGTTCTAAACTATCATGGTTACTGTTTCCTTCGATCTTTACCACATTATTCCTAATCTCCATTTTACACATAAGGAAATGAGATACAAGGTTGGGATTAGGATCTGAACCCAAGGAAACCAAAATGTCAGCAGTTAATACCTACCAGTGGCTTCACAGGACAAAAGATTGGCAATCTGCTGGACTGGCAACCTCAGCCTAGCAAACCCTGTGGGACATTTCTACTCTGTCATAAAGGGTCACTATAAGTCAGAATCAACTTGGTAGCATACAAGTCTAAACCTAGAGTCTCTTTCCTAGATTTCATAGCCAGAATTTAAGTTATTTGATAAATTTTTGTCTTTTATAACTTCATCTTTAGGTCGTTTGGTATAGATGAAAAAATACAGTTGGATGGGTTTTTTTTTTCCCCCTAATTTTAAAAATTTTCATAATTCAGAGGGAGAACAATGTGGAACAAAACTCAAAATCAATTGGAAAAAAAAATGGTGGAGTGGGGAACCAGGCTTGCTGGTCTGATGGAGCCTGGTGGAACCACTGAGACTATGGCCCCTAGCTGCCCTTCAGGTCTGGAATTGAACCCATACCTGTGGCTTCCAGCCAAACAAAAAACAGGCATAGGAGTTGAACATTTACCTGAGGTAGATACATTCCTTGGACAGAACAATCATGGGAGAAAGAAGGGCTCTGTATGCACAGGGAAACAGCTTAGGGGGCGGGAGTACGTGAAGGGATGGACACAGGCAAGAGGTAACTATCAGGAGGAAGTGGGAGGGGAGCTGTCGCATTAGGGTAAATTGTAGTCAATGTCATAAGACAAAGTGTATGTGGTGTATGTGAACTGTTGTATGGAAAGTGAATTTTGCTTTGTAAATTTTCACTCAAATCACAGTAAAAAAAAAAAATTCATAATTCAGGTGTTTTTTTTTTTTTTAATTATGACAGCTAATAGCTGGGATTTCTAATTTAAAGGGTGACGAAAACATTCATAAGTATTTGAACACTAGTATATATATCTCACCTCTGATTTATTTTAAACCTTGAGATATTACTACGTTTTTGATGTTGTTGTTATGTGCCGTCGAGTCAGCCCTGACTCATAGAGACCCCTCCTTGGGTTTCCGAGGCAGTATCACTACGGAAGTAGGATTGCCCAACCTTCCTTCCGATGTTAGCTTTTAAAAAAACGTTTTTCATTTTAGATATTGAAGTGGCTTGTTATGGTTATGAAGGCATTGATGCCGTAAAAGAAGCCCTGAGAGCGGGTTTGAATTGTTCCACAGAAACCATGCCCATCAAGGTGAGTTGTCGTTTTCTCCCTCCCTGCTGAAGCATCCACGCAAACCAAATCAGAGCCTTGTTTTAAGTAGACTTTTTGTTGGTAGTGTTGCTGTTGCTACTGTCATACTCAGTGGTGATTCCTACTGGTACCAGAGGCTTATCAGTGTTAAACTTCGTATACAACAAAGAGTTGCTGTGCCCGGAATGCTCTTAGTATCTTGAAATGCTTATAGCACCCCCGACAACAGCTTTGGTTAGTGAATCTACAGTTCCACATCAGCATATAGACTAACCATGGGTCGGAAATACTTGGGGGAAAAAGACAAGCGGTCAAAGTGATCCCTCAATAGCTAAGCAGGAATAGAAAGTGCTACTTATGTAGCATTTACATTGTATTCAGTATTATAAGTAATCTAGAGGTGATTTTAAGTATACAAGAGGATGTGTGAATGTTATATGCAAGTACTATGCCATTTTATAGAAGAAACTTAAGCATCCACTGATTTGGTATCCACAGGCAGTGTGGTCCTGGAACCAATCTCCCACAGATACCAATGAACAACTGTAATTAGTTTTTGCTGCATTAACAAATCATACCAAATTATTGGCCTACAGAATTTGTAGGTAAGTTTTAGGGTGATATGTTAGTGCAGCAGATTAAGCTGTTCTTGAGCACCCTAATAGTTGTATATTGAAAGGTACATTCATGATTGATTTTTTTTTTGTCTTTCTCCCTTAGATTAATCTAATAGCTCCTCCTCGGTATGTGATGACTACAACCACCCTGGAGAGAACAGAAGGCCTCTCTGTCCTCAACCAAGCTATGGCTGTTATCAAAGAAAAGATTGAAGAAAAGAGGGGTGTCTTCAACGTTCAAATGGAGGTGAGATCAGTACCTTCTTTTTCTGCCTTGTTCTTAAGTTTTTTAAAGAAATTTAAATCATCTAAATGATTTGTGTTCTAAAATACCTAATCACTGCTTTTTAAAACATCATATACAATTAGGATTATAATTATCCATTGGTTCAAAGGGCTTTTTATAAGTAAGTAAGAGCCATTAGCACTGAACTGTCTTACATATTGTGGGATGGTTATTCAAGACAGTAATCCCTGGTGGTGGTGGGTTTTTCTCCCGTGGAAAATACAGACAATAAAGGAGTAATTATTACCAGAATTTGCATGTGGAATGCTTAAAAGTTGATCTCACAGTAAGAGTGGTCTATCTTTTCTCATCTCAATAAGAAACCTGATTTCATCGTGGGGGTGTGGTGGTTCCCTCTGTAGAAAGGAGTAGTAAGTAATTTGTTTTGAGCCTGGGCATACTTTGTTGTTGTTCAACAGGATATCTATCATTTGTAGACTTGCTTTAAAGATACATAGCAAGTGAGGTTGTTTTCATATATTTTTAGTTTCCACTTGTAAAAATGATGGGGAATAGTATTCCATTTTAATACATTCACACATCTTTTTCTTGTATCGTCTTGTTTACTAGTTACTAATGATACATCAGCACTCAGAAATGATCAAATATGGGGGATTTGTTAAGAAAAGTGTTTCCTTAATAGGCAGTGAAATTGAATTTGCATCCTATTTTTCTACTTCACTTTGAAATTATGCCTCTGCTTCCATAGCCCAAAGTGGTCACAGATACAGATGAGACCGAGCTTGCAAGGCAGCTGGAGAGGCTTGAGAGAGAAAATGCAGAAGTGGATGGAGATGATGATGCAGAAGAAATGGAAGCCAAAGCTGAAGATTAACTGGGAAACCAAGTCCAATTTAAGGAATACAAAGCAGCCCTTCCTGGCTGGACTGTTTCAACCCTAGACTTGAAAGTTTTCCAGTATTGAAAACTTTAAAGCTGAATATTTTTTATTTCTAAGTATTTAAATATTCCAGCACACCAGAACGTGAAATGCCCTCCTAAATGTTAGCTGTTTTCACACAGTAGCTCCAACACATTGAGCATTTTTTATGGGAGTGGCCTAATTTCACTAGAGACTAAAATCTTTAAACTAAGAGCAGTCAAATTTGGGCCTGTGGTTTCCTTTTCTGATGTCCTCAGATTGGACCTCTTTGTAGTTCAGTGCCTCCATGAGATTTACCAAGGGCACTCAAACCAAGCAGTCCCAATCTTTCTATAAAGTGTATTCACGCAAACATTAAATAAATTTGTGGGATATTTAACTACATAGGCTTCTTCCTTCTTGTCACTAGGTAAAGCATTCTTCTGAGAACTAAGACTTTTAATTCGATTCATTTTAGTCTAGATAAAGAAACATAAGGGCTTATTATGAGGGAGCTCTGGTAGCATAGTGGCTAAGACACTTGCCTGCTAACCAGACGGCTGGCGGTTCAAACCCACCAGCCACTCCTCGGAAGGAAGGTTGGGCAATCCTACTTCCGTAGTGATACTGCCTCGGAAACCCAAGGAGGGGTCGCTACGAGTCAGGTATGACTCGACGGCACGTAACAACAACAACAACAACAAGGGCTTATGAACAGCTAGCATTTTATGTGCCTTTGGAATATCTTACTCTATAAGAGGGATTAATTCTGGAGTTTAAAAAATATGCTAGAATGGATCTACTTAGCAGATCCTTTCAAAATGATATTTTAAAGAAAATAATTTTAACAGCAGTGAAAGCTTTAGGGGAAAAAATCATAAAAATAGCAATTACAGAATTGGATTGGTTGTGACCCTTTTACCTACAGGCAGTATCCGGGCTTATAAACAGATCCATTCCTAAGTATGTCTTCAAGACAAATTTGTAAGTTAGTCTGAATAGGTGCATATGGTTCTTACTTAGCTGTACTTCAATGCAAGAAAAGCCTCTAAGCCTTTTCAGTGATTTAAAAGCTGTACATGCAGCATGTGAAAGTGATTTTGATGAAGAATTTGTTGCAAGTATGGGTGGTTCAATCATTTGAAAGTTAGGACAAATTTACATACAGCAAAAGGCAAGCAGGAGTATCTGTAAGTTGGATGTTTGTAATCTAGGGACTGCCTGTATTTTAGATCAATGACGTATGATATGAGAGAGAATTTGTCATAGTAACAAGTACACCTTGTTTTGGTGTACTTGAGCTGCGGCTTGCTTGAGTTCACACTTCAGGGTGGTAAAGTATGTTGTTTTTAAAAGAAGATGCTGCTGCTTTGGCTTAGTTACTTTGAGTCTCATCACCCATCTTTGGATTTTGTTTTCGCACTAAAGCGCCTAGTAAGTGCCCCCTGGAGTGTCAGTTTTCTTTATTACAAAGGTATTGGCTTCCACACAGTTCCAGCAATTTTTCTGTATTTTTATTATCTTTGAGAGCGAGTTTTTATTTGAAAGGTGTATGTATAAAATAAGTTTTATAGGTAACATGAAGTTACAGCTTTAGTAATCAGAGTGGAGCAAATTACTTTGGTCTTCTTGTCTTCACTCATGTAATGAGATACCAAATATATTTAATTTTATTAATTATCCCTTGGAATAGATACTTACCTAGAAGATTAAACCTAACCCACCCTAGTAAATCCAGAAAAGACTTAAAGGATAGAAAATGTAAGAAGATGGTGACTCTGGCATTTGTGAATATCTGTCTCTTTGTTTCGTTAAGCAGCCTGTAGCAACATCCAGGGGAGCTCTGGTAGCGTAGTGGCTAAGGCACTTGACTGCTAACCAGAAGGCTGGCAGTTCAAACCCACCAGCCACTCCTCGGAAGGAAGGTTGGGCAATGCTACTTCCATAGTGATACTGCCTCGGAAACCCAAGGAGTGGTCGCTATGAGTCAGGGCTGACTCGACGGCACATAACAACAACAACAAAGCAACATCCAGATGGCTAGTTTCCAAGGGTGAGAGTCTGCTAGCTATGCCACACTGGGAAGGGATTTAGAGAAGAATTTGAATGTAATTAAGATGTGATCTTTAACTTGATACATAATTTTCACTCTGTCTTCCTGAGGTATCAAAAAACAAGTTTATAAAGATCACAGTATCAAAAGTGTTACCAAAACATAATAGATATTCCTTAAACGTTTTCTATAGGCAGAAGAATTGAATTTTGTTATACTTAAGAAGCCATCACTGTTGGAAAATACCAGTGCCCTCCATGGTGAATGATTTTATATAAGCATTTTACTCTGTTGCATAGAAATTTTGCAAGTTTTTGACCCTTGCCAGAAAAAGATCAGTGCCTCACTGATAGCATGAAGAAGAGAACAAATTAAAGTATGCAGACATGCTGCTGACCTGAAAGTATCTCTCCCAAGCATGAGGACAAAATGCACACACCCAGCTACTGAGTAACTTGAGGAAGAGGACAGATAAAGAAAATTGAACAGTTTACCCAAATTTTGGATCTCTCCCCTAGAAGTCTTTTCTTTAAAAATGTTGACAATTTCATCTACTCCCCACTCTGCTGTTGATAACAGAGGTCAGATGGTTATCAACTCATAACTGAAAAGTAGCTATAGTTTGGGTTTCATTTATGCAACTAGAGAAAATTTGAACATCTAACCCATTGTTCACAGTGGTTTTATAGCAAAACAAGGCAAACACTTAGTGGGAGCCTACAGAGAAGGTCATTACACCATGCCAAGCACTACAGTTACCTACTCAGGTGGCATACTTCCAAGCATTCTCTGACCTGGTTACTTGCACAGCAAAAATAATTAAAGGTTTTTAAAAATTCAAGTGTGCCAGTACCTTCAACACATGAAGATCCTGATGGTACCTATGCAAAGTGGGGCACAGGCAAGAAGCCATCAAACCAAATGTTCTTCAGATAAACACATGTCAATATTCATAAAGCAATAAAGGAACTAGTTCCAGGAACACTAGATCTTGGTGAAATGCCAGATGGTAAAATGGTGCTTTCAAAGATGAGGTCTCTTACAATGTAAGGAATAAAGTAAAAGCTCATTAGCTTGGAATTGCTGACCATTCAGGTCAGGTAGTCTAAAGATTCAAAGGAAGAAGTTCAAACTATTTAAGAAGACAAACTTATTTGAGCACTATAGATGTATCCACTCCCCTTGAATGGAGGGTACATATCTATTCTATTAAAGCAAGTCCAAGCACTTGTACTTGGCAAGAATGCTGGCAATAGTTTGTGCCAGATTATTGTATTTGAAAGTAATAAAAATGTTCTTTAAAAACATTATATGATACAGACTTTTCACTACTACAGATTAACGTCCCAGTGGGTGAAATTTCTTGGTACTTATTGTCTCAGTTGATGTTCATTTTGAAACCAAAATTTCATACCTTGATTTAATTCTTTTCCTGTTTACATCCATCTCTGTCCTTTCATCTAAATTTAGCAGCTCCTGCTCCAGCTCTTCATCTTTTTCTGAACGTTCATGTTTCATAGAGGACTAACTTTACTCTGTGTGTGTGTGTCTGTGTATATAACTAACTATTCACTCCTACCCACACCATAATTTCTTTTCTGCAGTATAGTACTTGTGCAGGCTTATTTTCAAAGCAAAAATAGGAATGCTCAACCTAAGTCTGGCCACCACACCCATTTTAGTTGAAGTATGAGTTGGTGCTGGCAATCACTTGAGATGTTTGCATAATCAGTTTCCCTAACAATCCATGTAGCCTCAAGCATGAGAGACCTTTGAAGCTATAAAACTTATCAGGAACTGGAATAGTAGCCAGAAACAAATGTCACTTTATTAATTCCAGAGAAAGAGATAAAAGTTTTAGACATCATTTCAGAGAACTGCCATGAGACCAGAATTCCAGTCAGTTCTACAACATGTCCAGTGTTAGTGTTAGAATAAGGGGAACCTATTTTGGTGCCCAAGGAACAGGGCTATCTGTGATAATTGGCAGAAGTCAAAGTTCTGACGCCTGATGGCTATTCCAGCCTTTCTATGTAGATAGCACAAAGATGCAGAAGGAAATGGCACCACTGCTGATTTTAACTAACGGACTCACCAGTCTTCAAAGTGGTACAAAAAGTTTTTGGCTTGTTAAACTCCTTATTGGTGGTCATAACACACTCCTGTTCTCCATGAAACCCTGTATGTATCCTGTAGTAGCAGGAAGGAATCCTGGTTCTGTTTCTTCAGGCTTTTGCCAAATTCACGTTAGCTGTTTGATAGCTTCAATCCACTCTGTTCGCTCAGCCTTGCTGCTGGCCTGAATGTAGTAGTGTGTGTCATCCTTAGTAATCACTTTAAAGAGATTTCCCTGGACATTCCCTTTAACTCCTAGGCAGAAAAAAAAATCAGTGAGTGAACATTCATGTCTGCTTTTGAAACAGAATAAAGTCAAAAACTATTTCCACACCCTGGTTAAAACAGATAATTAGAACAGATAGGAACCTGGCTGGGAATAGATAAGTAAACTTAATTACCCTCAACTATTTCCCCACCCAGGAGCTCTGGTAGCATAGTGCCTAAGGCACTTGACTGCTAACCAGAAGGCTGGCAGTTCAAACCCACCAGCTACCCCTCAGAAGGAAGGTTGGGCAATCTACTTCCATAGTGATAACCGCCTCGGAAACCCAAGGAGGGGTTGCTATGAGTCGGGGCCGACTCGACGGCACATAACATTTTCCCACCCTGGACCCCAGTTGTAGATAGATGAGTAAACACATAGGACCCCGGTTGGCAACAGATGAGTAAATACGATAAGCTTAGTTCCTTAAGAACTGAATGGGAAAAAAAAAAAAAAAACATTCTTTCCTGCTATTTCCTTAGGCACAGGTGATAAATGTAACGTTAATGTGTCTTAGAAAACAACTTGAAAATTAACTCTGGCCCGCAGACATGTGCAGTGGGACGGGGGAACAAAGTTACTGGAACTAACACTCTCTTCTCTGCCTAAACCCCAATCAGCTGATGACAGGAAGCCATGTGACTCATCCAGTAAGCAAGTGCACTAGCTCAAAATGCTACTGTCCCTTTAAACTGAGGCAAAGGAAATTTCAGCCAATCGTCAACCATCTCACGCCTAAATTCCTGAAATTTTATGGCCCTCTCTTCTGAGACCTACAAAACTAATTCGATGGAGTTTCTGGGAGTCAGATCTTGCTCCTTGCATTGCCACTTTGCAATAAATAATTTTCTCTCCTCTTAATCACTCAGTGTGTAAACTGTTTTGGCCTGACTGCACCGCAGGCAGGGATCTGCATTTGGTCCTATTTCACTTTTAGTTTGAAACACAGACACACATACAAATGTGCAAGTGCATACATAGTGAAGTATGTATGTATGTATGTGGTTAGGGAATCCCCACCAGACATGCTTTCCTTTTTTCCTCCTCAGTTGAGCCTAAAGCCCACCAGTGGTATGTCTAGACATTCCTTGAAAGCCCTCTTGCCTCCTCCTATGTTAGCCATAGATCTGCAATCATCTATTCATATGAAAGAGTCCAGTATATTTACATTAAAAGAAGTAAAGATGAATGTCATCTTTTCAACACATGAAGATCCTGATAATCTATACAAAGTGGGGCACAATTGTGCCAAATTGGAGACAGGAAGCCATCAAATTTGACTTTAAATAGTTTAACTTCTGTGAATCTCAATTTCTACATCCATAAAATGGGGTTAATACTATTTGCCTACCTTAGCTGGCTCTTGGGAAATTAGGTGATATAGGTATTAAAGTGTGATGTGAGGAGCTCTGGTAGCATAGTGCCTAAGGCACTTGACTGCTAACCAGAAGGCTGGCGGTTCAAACCCACCAGCCACTCCTTGGAAGGAAGGTT